GTGAGGGAACTTTCAATGACCTTTAATGGGGCTGATCTTGGCATCTTTCTCACCATCTCATGGCTCACATTTTACACCTTTGGTCTCTTAAATATATTGTTATCCCTTTAGATTCAAGAGTGCATCTCAACCTGTTTACAGGTCTACTATCTATGTAAGACGACAATTTTCAAAACAGAATAGGAAGACCCAAACATTTACAGCACAATCCTCTAGGAATCTCCTCAAAATTATGATATACTGACTTCAGTGTAATTTACTTCCTAATAAGTTGGCATAAACAGTTAGTCTTAGTCATTTAAATCTTAACTTACAGTTAAGTATTTATGCAATCACATTTAGAAATTCTTCCTCCCTCTGTCAGCCTTTTGGGGTAAATTATTCTTCTCAATGTCAAAAAATTTTTCTACAAACACACATTATGATTCATCAGGAAGAGATGCAGGAATGTCATAGTTTCATTGTTAACTAGGCACCAAGACTGGAATTATATCAATTTGTGGTAATGTTACTGTGTTTAGACACCATTTTAGTCTGGGCAGCCTACGTACTTTGGCTTTCGTTCTGAACTGCAGTGGTCTACAGTTTGAGTAAAATGCCCCAGATGTTTAGCGTAATATTCCCCATCTTAAGCTACACGTCAAATCAAAATCCTGAAGGGAGTTATTAATTCATTTACCAGGCAGATTCACTGCATGGGGTTAATATTATCTAAGTATAAATATGACAATTGTATAGTGTGGCCACCGTCTTATATTATGGTATGTATGCCTCCCTGAAAGGTGCTAAATGCATTTGGCTATTTCCTTTTATCCATCTATTAATGATACATGTTAATCTTTTTTCTTCTAATTCCCAATTTTTCTATGTGCAGCAGAGAAATGGATAGACCTGCTTTTCAGTGCAGCTGCTTCTGGTCTCTCTTTTGCAATTTCAAGGAACTGCCATTCTTCTGATGCAGCTTTGGTCACCAATTAATCAAAGAATCATAGATGGGGAGAACCACCAGTCATCCTGAATAGGTATCATCTTGACATTTCAATTGGAAGCTGTGTTAAATAGGTATTTCCAGGGTTTATGAAGTGCTGCATATTCCACTTGCATGGAATACCATTTCATGCAAACTGCTTCTGCTATGAAAAGAATGTACAGGTAGTTTTCAGGAACTGGCTAAAGACATGTCATTAAGGGGGAGGCTTGAGGATGGTTGTGGGGGATCAACAAATGTGGAAAATGATCTTATGGATATGAGATTAGGTAGATACTGGGGAAAGAAATTCCTGTGCTTTTATGTTTATTATTTAGTACATTGTAATTTAAAAAAAACAACCCTCTGAGTTAATGTTTGGTAGGTGTGTTTGGGATGATTATACAAAAGGCAAAGGAATAAGTAGACTTTCTATGCTAGGGTTGTGGGTAGAAGTGAAAGACTTGGAGGGGGTGTCCCTAAATAACATAGTGATTATGGTTCCAAATAGTGATACTGTGCTCCATGGCTACAACTACCTGCTGCCTGGTTCCTGGTCAAGCTTCTCCCTTTTTAGCCTCACCAGCCAGTGTGTATACTGCAAAATGGGCTTTTTGTGAGAGTTTTCATTCACTGTGACAGCTAAGTGCTACATGTTATGTGTACATGACCAGACGATTCAAACTTGCAGGGTTGGCATGTTCCAGGTTCCTTCAATTAAACAATGCCATCTATCAGGACCCCAGAAGTGCACCTTCTCTGTAGCAGTGCCTGCCCTCTGGAATGAGGTTCCCCCCAAGATCCAGATGGCCCCCACTCTGCTGTTGCTTGGAAGAGCCATGAAGACTTGGACCTTCACCCAGGCCTTTAGTGAGGGCCAGTGGGATTCCTTGCTTTGTTTCCATCCCTTCACTCTTGCCATTTTTTAATCTTTTCCCCCCCTTCCTTTTAAGTGTAACTAGACAACCTGTGACCCATTGGGTCATCGTTTCAGAGATATTTCCTTACCTAAACAGAAACAGAATGACCAAGAGCAAAAAAGCAGTGGGAATGTGACTTACAACTTGCTGCTGGCTTCCCCATTGACTTTGCTTGTGGGAAGCTGGCAGGGAGCATCAGAAATCCTTCCTTCCTTCCTTCCTTCTGGCCTCCCTCATACAAGCTTGTGCCATTTGCCCTCCCCTCCTTTCAGGAGAGCCCTGGTGAAGCCACTGCTGCTGCCTCTTCCGCCTCCTCCTCCTCTGACCCACAGAACTGCCTGCCACTTTGCTGGGGGGAGGTGGAACAAAGGGAACTGCACCCCTGCTCCCCATTCTGGCATGTCCCCAAGGGCCCCCTCCCTTGAGGGAGGAAGAGGGCTTACCCATCAACCACCGGTGCACACCCTACCTCACCAGCAGGCATCTGAGTTGCTCCCTCCTCCTTCCCTCAGTGCCCATTCCTGTTAAGAGATTTCAAATTTCTGCCTCCTTTCCAAAGCAGCCAACCACTGCTCATCTGTCAGGCCTTGCTGCCAGCCAATTAGGCACGGGGAGAGAATGATAGGAAAGAGGTCGGGGATATGCCCGTAATGATCATGTGACCTGGGCTGGCCGCAGTGGCTGGCAGCACAGTAGTGCTGAAGTAGCCACAAATTTCCCAAATTTCAATCTCACGGGAGTAATGGGTCCCAGATTTTGGATGCATTCTGTAAGTTAGCCCATTTGAGGTACCTTGGTTCAAAAATTGTTGCCCTGTGACCCACTGTTTCACCCAATAGAAAGTTACAGACACAAGAGTTTTAGTAGTATATAGATATTATTTCTTTTGATTGTTGGGAGCCAAAGTTGTTGGGAGTCAAGTGGCATGCAAGTTTAATAATAAATAGATGACATTGTCTCCAAATTCAAAAGCAATAATTGGCTCACACTCTGACCTACTCCTGCATCTTTACCCTTTCATAACAATCTGCAGAAAAAACAGCCTTACCTGGAAAAAAAATCTAGCGCGACAAATGACCACCATTAGTTTACTTCAGGAGAACCAGCATGAACAAAAGCAAAATTATTATTTTATTTTTTTATATGTATGTATGTATGTTTAAAAACTCTATTGCAAACCAAGGTTAAGATGCCGTGCACCTGTAGTTGCTAGGTCTTTAACTGACCTGGTTAAATACATTATGTAAACACAGCTGGTGTGTAATGCGGAACTGTGAGAAGCACAAGTTGGACAGGGCCTGCCTAAGAATGCTAAGAATGGGCAGTTTTAAAATTGTACAATCAGTTTTTAGTGATCCATGTTCTTTGTGGACCATTATATAGGTTATTTTTTTAAATATTGTTTTTAGTTCTTTAAAAGCATAAATATATGTGTAAAAAACATCTGATACCTCTTTTTAAATGGTTAATTCCCTCTTTTCTGGTATTCCAGAAAACAATCTGCTGTTTGGATCTGTGACTTTGTCAGTCATAATTGTCAAGAGATACATCTGGGAAGAGACTTAAGAGTTTCTCTCATACAACTTTCCAAGCCCAGCTCAGATGTTAACAATGTGATATTTTAAAAAATTGCATAGGAGAACAGTATACTTGTTATCCCTTAAAATGGGATGGAGACTGTGGCTTGGGTATGAAGGCTGCTGGGGCAATAGAAAACCTGCCCTAGAAAACATTTATGGAAGCAAGATACTACTGCTGTCATGAAGACAGTAGTTATAGATTTGGCCAGGGCACTGCTCTTAATGGTTTTAAGGAGTGGGTTGCGGTAGCAGGACCAGAAGAGTCTACGGTATTTGAACAAGAGAGGGATTTAAGCCTATTTTAAACTTGTGCTACAGCTTCCATGTGTTTTAGTGGAAACTGAAATTTGTTAAAGTAGTTGGAGATGGCTCTTGGAGCTGTTAGGAGGGGGAAAATAAAAGGTCTTCAGGAGCCAGTTACACAGCCAGGATCACAGGTTGCCCCATCTCTGATTTTAATGCATTGTGCAAATCTAGCCAATAGGTTTAATCAAATTATATGGTTCCATATAATGTGTGAACCAAATCTTACTGTTCATTCCATAATATCCATTCTTCAAGCAAACAATTGGATATACTTTGAAAATAAAATTCTTACAACGTCCCTTTGACAATTTGTTAGCTAGCTTTTATGCATTAAAATATTGACTGCTTTGAATTTTATGTACAATGTATATATTTAACATATATTCATCTTTTTTTAAAATAATCTTTGAACTGTTATCTTAAGAAATAAATTTGTATTTGGTTAGAGTTGAGTTGAGAAGAGTTTTTCCTTTTTCTGGACAGATTCACTTTTAAACCAACAAGTGCTGAAGATTATTCAGAAGGTAATCTCTCTTGCTTGTCCTAAGAGAGATACAGCAAACTGTATCATAATAATCCTACAATACCAAAGTACTGTATTCTATTTTGACATGACAAAAATCATGCCGTAGAATAGGCAACATTATCAAAAGAATTCCAGTGACACAGCAGAAAGCGCATACCACACTCCCACCAAAACTGGGAAAAATCATTCCCATGATACACGTCTTAACTGGTTATGATTATTTATTGGATAGCAGAATACCGTGCTTTATAGTGGCTGGAGGAAGCAGTGTTTAAAATATATGGCACTGTCTCTAATTCATTTTGTCTTGGAAGAGTGTGAAATAAAGATGAGCATTTCAGTAGTTTGCTGTGGCTGCTTTTTGTTTTTAAAACTTTGATCTGAATTCTGTGGATATATATGCAATGGAATCCACATTCATTTGTGAGAACTGAAGAGTAGTACAAACCAAAGCCATTACATTCTTGCACAAAGAGTGCCTTCTGGAAGAAACATACTACTCCTCTGGAGTTGCACACTATAATGGAAATATCAGGACTGCATGGGCAAAGCAATCAGTTTCAGGAAGGGGCACAATGTATTTCTTGATGACACTTGTTAGCATAGGAACAGAATAGAAACACACATATCCTCCTGTTCTGTGCTGAAATGGAACATAATTAGTGTAAAAAAGTACTCCAACCCTTGGCAGAATTTAAAACAATCCATCCAAGTTATACTTAAAGGTGGCTAACTTTAATAACCACAAAAGTTGGTCAGTATTTAACATGACATTCTAAAAAAACAATCACATAATTTTATAATAAATTTACAAGTGGATGATATACATATAGATATAGAGGTAGAAGTTCACCTTTACAATATTCTACTAATACAGTTTACCAAATTCAAGGCACAAAATTGTTCTTACAAAAAAGGTAAAAAAATGTTTTCTGCTCTATAATGCAATTTAAAAAAACATTTTTACAGTCTTTCTAATGTTCAAGGCATCTAATATTACTTTTTATCTTTGTAATTCCTTAATGTGACAATTGGCAAGAGGACCAAGATTTACTGTTTTTTCTTAACTCATTTTGCTTTTGAATTTTAAGCAAAAATATTGGTTATCGGACAGTAATGGATGATAGGCACAGGGCCGTCACTGTGTAGTCTAGAAAGACCATTTAACTGTACATTCCTTTGCCATACGATCCCATTAAAGCTGGCTTTTATAGTGGTTGATTTTAAAAGCAAGCCATACATTTTTGTCTAAGTAACAGAAAGAAATGGTATGGATTATGACTTCCATTCCGAAAGCATTCCAAAATATGAACTTCCTGTTAATGAAGACATATTTAGGTTCAATATATGCAACGTTGAACAATAAAACATAATTATAATTTATCTATCCCACACAGACTGGGTGAGCCTTTGAAGCACTGCCCTGCTACATTACATATTTTTAAATGATAGCTCATAAAAATATCACAAGAAAATTAACAGTTGATGAAACAATTGAATCTTCTAATTGCATGACCATCTCAAGAGAAATCATACAAAGTTTCTCTCTATAAAAAGAGTAGCATGTTACTGTACATCTAATAAAGTTTCAAAGGAACAAGGGTGATCACTACTTTTTATAAATTTGCCTGTCATGGTTCCCAGGAATTCTGATTACTCTACATACAATAGGTAAAAAAAAAGTGTTTTTCCCGTTCACTATCCAGGTACAGGATCCAAGAGAATGCCATGATAAAATGTTAACAGTTGCTCCTGCTAAATGCAAGTGCACTCCAGATTCAGTCCTAACATTTGATAATAATTCTGTTACAAATAACAGTCCTTTGCAAAATGTTATATTTCATTTTTTGCTTCATTGTTATTTGTGGCCTGTTTTCGTTGAGCAATGAAAGGATACATACACTTGTCCGCTCCCAAAAACCGGTACATGCACACCACCGCTTCAAAAGGTAGGATGCTAAAAGAAGGAAAAATATGAACAGGCATTTAAATGTATTGAAAAAGGTGGTTATTATTTGTTTTTTTAATTGCAATAACAAATGTAAGAAAATTAAAAATACTATCTAAAGCAGATTCCCGCAGTCTGGTGCCCTTCAGATATGACAGATACATTTAAGCTTCTAAAATTATTACTTCCCTTTTATAAAATCAACAAAGTCAGAAGCAAAGTATAATATTTATATAAATTTATATATAAATATATAATATGTTTAGCCTGAGGCTAAAAGAATGAAAGCATCTATTATTAAATGTGTCAAATGTAATATAATGAGTCAAAAGCTTTAATTATTAGCTCAAATTCTAACATTGTTCCAAGGAGTTACAGGCTCTCAGTGTTAATAGAACTATACCGTACAAGTGAAGCCTGTAATGTGTTTTATGGAAACCTGAAGGACTTCCTCTGAAGCATGAACCCTACCCTGATATTTTTCACTAAAGAATGTTCCCAGGGTGCTTACTCTTGGCTGCACACACTTTCAACTATTCTAACTAATGAGTTATTGGTGATGCCTCCATACAGCAATTTTATCAGCAACAAGGATTCTTAAAACTGTTACCTCTTTCAAAATTAATGTGCATTTCCTTTTCTGAGTCTTACTCATTTTTAGCTTAAAAAAAATAAAAAAACAGTACCCAGAGATCAAAGCCGAAAGACCAGGAGGACCATTTGGGCTGGATTTCATGCTTAAACAGGGCCTCACACTGAAACATTTGCTAACATTCTTTTTACTTAAAAATACTTACGCTACGCCTCATTCTTTCTTTCCTTGGTACTTTCCTTTTGTTTCGTGTGTTACTGTTTCTATTTTCATTGTATCTAGAGGCCTCAACAATTGGAAGTAGTATGAGCCCCTGAGGAATTTTATAAGGGCTTAAACAGATTTGTGAAGCCACTTAAAAAGGTGGTTTCCCAAGAAATAAGTAATCCAGAGCATCAAAACAGGGAGAATATCATGGAATGTCATGGTCCATATGCCTTTGATTAAGGAGATGCACTGTTTCTTAATTTCACTTTTATTCCTCCCAAAGACATTTGGGAGCGGCCCAATATTGTTAAATATATGTGCTCCATACAAGTGGTTAGTTTTTCTGAATTTTTGTGAACTAAAATGTTTCAAATCCAACAGCAGCTGAGTACAGAGAGGCTGGGGAATGAACTAAGATAAAATGTTCATCCATAATGTAAAGATAAATATCCCTTGCTAAGGACTAGCACCTACTACTGTGAAAAAAAAAGTTATGTGATAAAGCTTTTAACTTTTCAGGGTTCATCAGGAATAGATTGGAAATTGTTTAGTTAGACATCGTTACTGATTTCTATCGAGCCTGAAAGCCTGACTGTGCAGGATTTATGCTTCTAAGCAAGCAAACAAGGCCAGAAAATGTGTCCTTTTATTCTCTATGTTCAAAAATTCTGGATATTTTCCTTCTTCAGTATACTATTGATGAAGTCTGTTTTGTGCTTCTGTTTCTTCAGAACAAATATAATTGCCACAGTGATGTTCCCATATTAATATTGACGGACTGTTGCAGAAGGCAAAGCTCAGTGGCAGAAACTTGCTTTGCACCTTTAAGCATCTGCACGCAATGTCTGCTATTACCCGAAAAAGCTCAAGTAGTAGATGGTGAAGGACTTCTGCTTCATCCATTTTGCTAATTGTTGCACGTAGAATAGACAGTGCTAGCAGAGACAGAAAGACTGTGTTGGAGAATTGGTTGTATCAATCCCATAAATTAAGGAGTAATTATAGATTCCTGGGCCATTTTATGCTATCACATTTTCGTTGACCAACAATACTACTAGCTTGAGATAATCAGAAATAAGGGCTGTAAAACTACCCAAATTTGCTTGCCCGTGTATCTCTGAAAGATGTACATGTTACTCAGTAGATCCAGATAATCACCTTTTCATGAAGGTGACCATATACATCAAACGAGGTGTGCAAATCATAGGTTGGTCTGTTAGGATAGCTCTCATAGCTTGCTTTACACAGTAATCTGGTTTCAAAGGCGGAAGGAATGGCTCTATTTCTTTTCTGAAAAAAACCAAACAAACCACATTTTAAAAATATATCAGATAAAAAGTACATGTAGATAGAAGACAACATCAAGCATGTTTGTCTTACTAATTCCAAAGGGTGAGATTGAAGAATGTCCTTGCTTATTTAAAATCATTTTTCTGCTCAATGTATGCTTAATGGAATTTATAATAAAACCTAAAATATATAGCAACTTCAAAAACTAAGACAGATAACACCCATATAGTATCATAAAATCAAAGAGTACGTTGTCACTGAAAACTCCATGGCATAGTATAAATACCAATAAAGAGAAGCTGAATTAAATTACTTAGAGAAGAAATTATAAAATTATAAAACTAGAATCTTACTAGAATTTTAACTGAAAACAATAGCTTACAAACACAACAGAACCATGGATCTTAAACTAACTATGGAAATCCAATGAACTATTTTAAACATTACATTAAAATCTGATCCAATATATTTTCAAATAGAGTATTAGACTGTGCTTCCCCATAACACAGAAAATAATATTTTTTTATTATGATTTTGTTCGCGAAGGGGGAAGATTGTTTACTGCAACAAAGCAAACTGATGCTGTGTGAAATGTATTTGATATACTGTAGCTGCATCATCTTTTTTTTTTTTTTGCATAATTAAACAAAATAAAACTTGCCTACTTACCTAATTCTGCAGCCTCTGAACATTCCTGTATCTACAAGGTAAGGACAAACTAGTGTTGTTTTAATACCATCTTTTTCAGCTGCCTTTAGTTCATGGCTCAGGGACTCATGAAATCCCACGGCTCCAAATTTACTGGCACAATAGTCCTAAATTGGTGATATAAGAAACAAGCATGAAACGAGTAACACAATTTAAAAAAAACAGTAACACAGTTAAAGTTATCATATTATTTTTATTAAATAAAAATGCCTTTTTGAAAAATTAAAGTAATAATCTCTGATATTGGTTTTTGAAGAAATAAAAAGCCCTTTGCCTTTCAAGCAGTATTTTTTTTAAAAAGCCCACTTCTCAATTCAGCCATTGTTTTCTTTTAGAGAAAGAAGAGCTACCTCAAGCAACTTGGAGAAACAGCCACTAAGTAGCATACTTTTTCTTAGGTTTGCTCAATGGTTTTGATTCCAGAAACTGGAATGTTTGGACTTCTACATATTAGCAGCTGAATCTGAGCAGAATTTTAGTCTATAGTGTGAAGTTTAGTTTAAGACTTAGGAAGCCTTCAGTGACAGGGTACTGAGGAGGAAGGAGCCAGGGGCAGAAAGGACACTAGAGTACGAAGGTCAGGCGTATGTCAGTTTAATACATTAGAATTTATTAACTTATCCTTTCTTTGTGGGCCTAACTGAAATTATAATTGTTTGCCACTTGTAATCTTAGTTTTATTTTCATTAGTAAGAAGGAAAAATACATTACTGATATAGGACACCTGTTTTTGTTATAATAAAAGAAGAATTTACAAATATCCTGGGCAATTATAGAACCCAGAGCTGCAAAGGCTACCAAGTCCAACCCCATGCTCATAGGAGGAATCCAGTTTGAAGCAACCCTGAAAGAAGGCTGTCCTGCCTGTTGGAACACTTCTAGCAAAAAGGAGGTCACCATCTTCCTCCCATTGTCCAGCTCCTTTCACTGTTAAAATAAGAAATATCCTCCTTTTGATCAAATGTTTCAAGCACATTAAAGAGGGATGGAGACATATGCTGATAACACTAGAGACAATACATGGTGAAGAGCCTTGCCAACAAATCACCTTATCTCAGCATCTTGTTGTTATCTCCTATAAATGCAACTGCTAGCCAGATGAAATATGTAACCTTAATCAATTATATTAGAAACAAAAAGCAGTTGGAAACAAAAAAACAACTATTCAACTGTGCTTTCCAGGAAGAAAGGAAGGACTGGAACATGGCTCTAGTTCCAAGTAGAGAAAATTTTACATTAAGAGAGAAAAATAGGTGCTAGGTGACTTATCAATTCTGATCAAATCTACCTTTCCACTTCAAATCTAAGCACAGGTCTTTGGCATTGTCTTTTGAACTAGGAATGCTCTGTTGCAACATCTAGACTCCTTGAATAACATATGGCTCAGTGACTAAGGTCCCAGGTTCATTTCTTAGCATCTCTCAGCACTAAATAAGCCCTCTGGAGATGTGCTGCCAGTTAATGTGAACAATCCTGAGTTGGTTGGACCAGTAAAAGGCAGCTTTATAGCATACCCTAATAACACTTTATGATACTAAAGTTAACTCTTACATCCTTGAGATTTCAAAAAGGAAGGGCTATTTTTTCTTTCTTTTTTCTACAGTGATAGCTTTACAACAAACATTTCTATAAAAGTTCTGAAAATGCTGGTGGTAGTCCTATTAGGATATCTATTGCTTAGTTCACTGGTGACTTAGTTTTCCAAAGAAACTAGATTAGTTACTCCTGATTGATGGAATCCTCAAAAGTTGAATTATTTTGTCCAAGTGTTGCATGCCTTACCTTGCACAGCAAGCTTGGTGCTAAAAGCAAACCCCTTTGACATGCAAGAACAGTTTTAAGAAATTTGAACAAACCTCTACTCCAGCAGTACTGAAGAGGCCAAGAGAGCTTGCAACAGTGACAATGTGTCCGTGGTTCAGTTCCAGCATTTTGGGAAGGAAAGCTTTAGTGGTCTGCAAAGAAGAACACAAGAGATAATGTCTTAATCTTTGATGTACCGGCCCAAGGGTAAGACAGCCAAAGATGTCATACTTAAGCAGTCTTCTGATCCAAAACCTGCTTATTTCATTTCAGGACTAAAATAGAAATTTAAGCAAAAAATAACTGGAAAAAAGTTCTTTTAAGTTATTGAAACAAAAAGTAAAAATAAATAATGAATTTATGAAAATACCTTATATAAAATTACACAGGCTACCCATTAATTGTCTAGTGAAAATATTCAATTATTGTATTAAATCACACTTCTTCTATAGGGCTATTTAAGTATAACTAAGCCTGGATCCAAACCATACCTACAAGAGTATTCAAGCCCAAGTATTCAAGCAACAAGTTGCTTAAGTTCGTTCTATATTATACTTTGAATAAGGAATATCCAATGAAAAGTCCTTGACTTTTTTATTTCCTACCACATTAAACTGCTAGTCCACATACTTACCTCTTAAATTTCATTTCAAATGGAAGAATCCTAATTTATGGTATCAAAGGGGGGAGGGGAATGAAACCATGTGCACGATATCACTACACAAATGTCACAACATACCAGTATCAGATGTCAGGATGCAAGTACATAATGGTGCCATTTGTGCAATTACATTCTTGCACATGTCACCATTTTCATATCAGTGTAGTTTGCTTGGATATCACTGTTTAGAATTGTACACGCACCAGGAAGTAAGTCCCACTGAACTTAGTGGAGTTAAATTCCCTGTTATCATGCACAGGATTGCAGTTCTCTAACTCTATTCTCTCTTTTCTATAGAAGCCACCTTACTAAATATAGTATGAATATATAAAGTTGCAGTACTTTAAAAGGAATGCAATACCATATCCCTGTTCCATAAAAATCTACTTTTACATTGTACAGATATGAAGCATATTGTACTGCTGCCTGTGTTACACATTTTCTCTGCCACTTGGCTTCATTTGCTAATTTTGCAAAACCTTTTGCAGGTCTGGGTGGATTTCATAGACCCTGAGAAATAACTAACTGCTTTGAAGAGCAGTCTAAGTGTTACAAGGAGGTGTGTGTTATTTTTCAGGCTCAGGGCCACAACTGATCTTGAGTGGATTCCTATTGAGCAAGCTCCAGAAAATGAGTGGGACCACTAATGGAACCGCCATTTGATTTAATCTGTTTAATTAAGTTAAAATTATTCCCCTCTATTAAATAATTTCATCTTTCTACTTTTGCATGGGCAGGGGAAGGGTTAAGAAAGAAGTACAACTTTTATGCCTCAGGTTGAGTATCCCTGCATAAGAAATCCCTACTGCTTAAACTGGTCTGAGCATTTGATGATCCACCTTCCTATTCTGCCCTGAAAATGAACACAGCAAAGTAGTATGAAGCTTTCATTTCTTTCCTGGACCTGTTGACAATATGAGAAGAGCAAAAAGCATTTGGTTGGCTTGGCTTTGGGGCTCTCAGAAGACAAGATGGCCATTATCTTACCTAGTAAGAATGGAGATAAAGCTTCCTCTGACAACACTGCAACTATTTTCGCAAAACTGCAATACTTCAATAATTCTTAAATGTAAATTGCCCATATATGCTGCACTGATGTGAGGATCTTGCACACATGAGCAGCCTTGTCGTACTTGAATAAAGACTTTTTAAAAAAATTAATTAAGGATATTTTGAAACATGAGCTGACTTTCAGCAAGTAGCGGTACTAAAGTCATGGTGCCACAGAATACCATTGAATAACACTAAAAGCAGGATTGTTTTAAAGTCTGAGTTTTTTTAATCCTCTTACTTTTATTTAAAAGCAAGGGTCATATTTTTAAATAAACAATGGCTTAGCTAACCACTATTAGTTCTACTCATGGACAAAACATGTTTATCATATTTAAATGTAACATATTTAACACATATGGTTGGTTTGGTTCGGCATGGGGGGAAGAGGAGAACATAGCCAACTGTGTCTTACTCAACAAATATTGAATAAACATGATAGGTAAATTCTGTCAGGATCTATGATAGAAAATGCACTTCAATCTCTTAAAGATAAACATGCATATCATCAAATTAAATAGATAAAAAAGAAGCTAGCTTTGTTTAAAATGTTAAATTGTAAAAACAATTGCTATAGTTCAAATAAAAATGCATCATCATAGCAAGATCACTAACCAAAGGCCTGTGACAAGTGCTGAGTCAATAGTGATGGTGGCTTCCAGATCCTTACTCTTTTTTTAGTTACTTTAAAATTAGATTTACCACAGATCTGCCTTTCAAATAGGGGGCATGTTCAAAGGAAGGAGCGTCCTCCAAAGTGGCCATACAGCCCTGAGATCACTTTAAAAGATCCTTTCTTTTAGGTACCAGTGGCTGTATCCATAAATACACATCACTGTATGAGTGAAAAGCTATACTACAATTCAAGAATGTTCTTCCCAAAGATTATCTTACTGTTTGCATTTCAAAATGTATAATAAATATTTGCAGTCTCTCAGAGCAACATTTGGCCAGTTCCCTTTACCAGTACATAAGGCCAGAACAACAACAAAAAACTCTCACAAAGTTTCTTCTATATAATAAACACCTGGACATGCCTCTTGGACTTTTCTGAGCTTCCCCAGGCAGAAATTCATTTGAAATAATAAAGCATTTATAAGCTGTCACATTGCAGCTGCCATGTACTTGCAGGAAGGGACAATGTGCTAGAATTGTATTTCTGCTAAATTGACTATCTGTAAGCCAAAAACAGGGCTCAGTTTTGGACTGTTATACATCAATTCTGCACACATGAGGATTCTTCTCCCTTGTTCTCCCCAACTTAAATCACCTGCCATATGAATTTGCTCTCTAAATAATTGTTGGGTTGAATATCTTTACCAACAGCTGACTCGGTCTAATTTCATTCTTAGGATGGGTCTTTGTTTTTCAATCAGAAATGACAGAACAATTTTCACATGTTCCTTGTACCAGAGTTTTGCTTGCAGGTGTTAACTCAGAGCTCTGAACACTGCACAAATAAGTGTTTTTACTGGGCAGCTGTTGGGTGACAGAAGATTAAAGGTTCCTCAGTTCTTGCTTCTACTGATTAAAATATTTGTTTCAGAATTAACCTTGTTTGATCTATCTACTCCAACTTCCTTTGGAGTTCTTCCAACACTGACTCTTTTAAGTTTTTATTGCAGAGCAGGTAGTCACCTAATTAGAAATGCAAAATCTGAGGACCATACACAAAATTGTTAGCAATTTGTCATTTTTAAAGTAACAAAGAAAAAAAAAACATTAAGCACATGATTTGAAAGTACCAAATCAGTTTGACAATATGTATTAACTATATTTAATTTTAATTAAATGTCAATGACGTAAAATCAAATTTAGTTTTTTCATTCTCACCACATCTTACTTGGATGTTTAAAGTCCAAGTGTAGCTCTTGATCAAGATGTTGCACACTCCAGACCTAAATTATGAAATGGAGGTATATATTATGGAAACAAAGTGTTATATCACTTTTCCCAATAATGTCTGGAGTATTCATGTTGTTAATGTTCAGAAGTTAGAAAGAGGTTACATGGTGAATCCTTCCTGTTCTAGGCCTGTGTTTCCCCCAGTTCCGGTCAAGGAGTTATGACTGAAAAGTACTGCATGCCCAAGTGGTCAACATGAGCTGATACAGGGGTTGATAAAGTGTATAGACTCTCTTCCTTTGTTATAGAGACATTTACAGAAGAATCGCTGTCTTTTCAAACAATTTCTCTGTAGCTATAAATGAAAACTAAAAAAATAAAAAGACATATAATGCAAACTCAGATTCTGTGCCAAATACAAAGTTCCATACACAGCTCTGTATTCATAAATTTAGTATAGACTCCCTTATTTTGTCCCTCCTCTTATAGCAGGAGGCATCTGCAAATATTATGTGCCTTGAGAGGAAAGGGGATCTACTTCATTTAATCTCCAAAGTCAAGCTTGTTAAATCATGATTAAAGACAATTTATTCTGGGCCAGCATTTGCCTAGTTGCTTGTAAAACGCATAAGTTCCTTCATACAATGAGGCAGATGACCAAATTTCCATGACAGAACAAACTTTGCATGCAGAAAATCTCAAGTACAATTTCTGGAATATCTAAGTAGATTTGGACAGTACCTGCCAGTCAATGTCAGCAATATTGAGCTAAATGGACTACTGGTTTGATTTCATATCTCTTTAAGTAACTCTTTAGTAATGCTTGACTAAATAACTTTAAGTATGTGTGAATTTGGAAAGTTAAAAAAAAAGTTGAGCAAGATTTGTGCAACATTTTTTACAACCCAAATTATAAACATACAATATTACCATAAGAAAATATGGTATTTGATGGAAGAAAACTTGGCAATAACTATCTAGTGGGGGCAGGACTAACCGCAAAGCCTTTCCTAGAATTTTAGCAAAATTCTAAAATTACTAAATTAAGCACATAAGGATATTTTGCCTTTTAAGATCAAAATTTTCCCTACCTACCACTATATTCTTCAACTTGCAATATGAGTAAAGAGGCATACCCACATAGTTATTCTAAGATGTATATCCCACCTTTATTTTTGTACAACTCAAGGTGATATACATATTGTTCCTGCCTCCTAGTTACTCTACAACAAGCCTGTAAGCAGGATTGGACTTGACTGGCCAAAAGCCACCCAGTCTCCTTTCATGTCTAAGGGAGGACTAGAATGCACAGTCTTTTGGTTTCTAACTTTAACCACTTCACCAAACTGTCTCTTAGTCTGCTGCTTCCAATTGTGTCTTTGACTAATAAGAAGGAAAAATGAAGCTAATATATGAAGGAGCACCAATTTAGATTTAGAGGGAAGGTGTGAATTAGCCATCATCATAAAAATCTTTTTAAAAAGGTACTTAGCCTCATTATTAGAGGCTGCCAAGTTTCTGCAACATCAGGATAATCCCAAATGCATTCATCATCCTTAATCTTAATCTTACTTTTCAAAAAAGAGCTGTAGAGTT